TGGTGGAGTTTGGGGGGCAATGGTGGAGTTTGGGGGGCAATGGTGGATTTTGAAGGGCAAGGTTTGAATTTGAGGGGCAGTGGTGGAGTTTGAGGGGCAAAGTTTGAGTCTGAGGGGCAGTGGTGGAGTTTTGGTGGCAATGTTTGAGTTGGGGGGACAATGGTGGAGCTTGAGGGGCAGTGCTGGAGTTTGGAGAGACAGGGCATGGCTGACACACTCCCCCAGCTCCCAGCCTGCAACAACCAGCCTCCAAATCCAGCTTTTAAATTAGGAAACCTCTAAAGATCGTTGGATTTGGATTTCTGGGGGAGGGGGGGGGGTCGGTGGGGCAGCACCTCGTGTGTGACCCTCCCTTGGGACCCCACATGTGGAGGCAGCTGGGAGGGCTCAGCTCCCTCGAGGCTCCCCGGGCTTTTAACACAATAATAAGTCAATTCTCGCTGAATAATTAAATCGAGAGGCTTCATAAGTATTGACTTAATGTGACAGCAAGTCTATACCGACTCGGGCTTTGCTTATGTAAACACAATCTCCTGTTCGGCTTAGTTAGCAGTTCAATGGGATAGAACAGGCCCTCAATTAAAACCAAATGATGCGTGTGCTTAATTCTTCCCTCCCCGGGTAATGATAGGGCTCGAGCAGAGGCAAAGAGGATAAAAAAAAACCCACCAAAAAAAAAAAAAGAGCCTTTGAGCCGCTCTTATCGGCGGCGAATCTAAACGTGGTGTCCTGAAAGGCACGTGGAGAACTCCTGACTGAGAAGTTGGGCTGGTTTCTCTCCTGATTTTTCAACCCCTCTCGCTGTTTTGCCTCTGCTCGGCCTAATTTGGGAGGTTCTCCTTCAGTTTATGGTGGGGGTTGCCTTTTTTTTCTGTTTGTTTTTTCCTGCTGTCCCCCTACCCCCGAGCGAGGAACCTGAGGTTGGAAAAGCCCGAGGTTGGAAAAGCCCTCCGAGATCACCAAGTCCAACCTCACCCCCTCCTTGTCACCCTGCCCAGAGCCTGGGGACTCCACCACCTCCCTGGGCAGCCCTTTCTGGTGCCTGACAGCAGAAATTCCTCCTGAAATTCGGGATGAGGGAGCAGCGCCCACCCCACCGAGCCACGCAGGAATTCAGCTTTCCCTAAAACCCCAACTCAGGCTCCCCTGGCTCCCACCAGAACAGGCCACTCCGCTCCCCAGAGGTGGCACAGAACTTTTCCCAGCTCAAACAAATCTCCCCATTGATCTCTTTGCTTGTGTTTTTCCTTTTTTCCCCCCCCTCCCCTGTGAACCGTCTGCTGCCTTTGGTGGGGGGTCATCCACAAAAGCGGGGGGTTTTGTCCCGGCTTCCCTCGTTCCTCCGGGGGCTCTTTGAATCACCTGCCCGCGTTTGAGGCTAATCTTTGTTTTATCTCAGCATCTCCCGGCTTCAAAAGGATTCCTCTCCTGCAGGACACGAGGCAGAGGCAGCGCTGGGAGGGGGATGCCCAGCGGGGCCCGCGGGTTTTTCATGTCTCGCCGAGGGTTTTTTTCGCGTGTTGTCGCAGCTCCCTGAACATCCCCGGCTCTGCAGGGGAGGGGGACAGGTGCCCTTCCCGGCTGCCTCTCCGGGCTCGTGTCTTTTAAAGCCCTTTTTCCCCTCAGTCCCTGCGAATCCCTGGAAAAACCACGGAGTAATCCCGGCATTTTGGGCATGAAATATTCAGGAGCCTGATGCTGCTGGGCTCGGATGGGCGCTGGGATGGCAGCAGTTAGCACCCAGTTAGGCTTTCAGTCACCAGCAAGAGCCTCCAGGAATCCCACTGCATTCCCATACGGAGCATCCAGTGTGCTGGTCCGGCCCTGAGCAGCCCGGGCTTTATTCCCTCTTAATCTGAGGATGGTGGAGTGGTTTGGGTTGGAAGGGGCCTTACAGGAATCCCATTCCACCCCCTGCCAAGTTGGTTGCTCCAACCTGGCCCCTGGGACACTTCCAGGGACGGGGTGTCCACGTCCTTGCCCTGGGATGGAGCCCCTGGAACTGCAGCGTTCCCGCTCCTCCCGGGCACTCCGGTGGTCCCTGCCTCGAGATCTGGAACGGGGAGGAATTCTGGGGTGGGTGGAAGGAATCTGCTCCGTTCAGCCACCGCTGAACGTTTGTTCCCGTGTTTAATTTGCCCAAAAGCCTCCTGAAAACAAATCATTCCTATTTAAGGAACGAAAAAATGACGCAATTTTCCATCGGCTCCCGCGGCTCCAGGCAGGTACCGCTGGAAGATTCAATCACTGCCTGGACAAAGCTGACATTTAATTAAGAAGGGAGGAAAGGAAGCTGAGGGAAATAATGTATTCCTGTTCCTCCTGCGGTGTGTGTGAAGTGTGGAGGGGGAAAAAAGGGAGCCGAGGAGCTTTTCCACTGGGAAATGCCAGGGCTCATCCTCGGGGTGGGAGATTCCTCCAGAGGGGCCACGACTCACCTCCTGCCTGTCCATCTGATGGCTGAGTCCCCCTGGGAATCCACAGCCTGTCCTTCTGTCCCCCTGGGCCGTCTGTCCATCGCTCCTCGTGCTGATTCCGTGCGGGAGGGAAGATGGGAGGGGGTAACCAAGCCAGGAATCGGACTGAGGGATGGAAATCAGCTCCTCGTGGCCCTTCCTTATTCCTCCTGCTGCTGCTGGTTCTCCCCATCTCTGCTGGTTCCCCCGGGTCGGGCAGCAGGGTGGGAGCATCTCCCCCCCACCCCGCTGCCTTTTGGGGGGGTTTTTTACCCCCTCCCTTCTCGACTTCAAAAGAAGAAAGGAAAACTGTAATTCCCGACCTCAGGCATTTTAATTGCACTCCGAGCTGGAACGTTCCAGGGGGGAGGATAAATCCAGGCAGTGAAATTTTCTGGCCCTGTAACGACGCCCGGGAGAGGCCAAACAAGGCCGGGAAGGTTATGGGGTCTCTGCCGGTGGAGCAGCGCTTGGAGAGGGCTTGGGGAACAGGGAGGGATGGAGGAATGAGGGTGCCAGGCTTGGAGGGGGTTCATTCCCTCGGGAATGAGGGCTGGCTCCCTCATCCCATGCCCCCTTGTCAGGGTGGGGCGACAGAGGTGGGACAAGAAGTTTCACCACCTGAGTTCAGCTCTCATTCAGATCTCCTTCCTTTAATCCCATTTATGTTCCCCTTTATGTTCCCCTTTATGTTCCCCCTTATTTTCCCCTTTATCCTGCTGAAATATCTCCGAGCTGCTCCGTGCTGGGACAGGCGGTGCAATCCCGTCCCTCTCCCCCTTCTCTTCCCCTTCCAGGTCCCGTCTGGCCGATTTCCACACCAACTGCCAGGCCACCTTCCAGTCCCTGACCAGCTGCCCCGGGGACAACTACCAGGCGTGCCTGGGCTCCTACGCGGGGCTCATCGGTGAGTGGCGGCCTCGGGCTGGGGAAGGGTCCCCCTCCCACTGTGGCTTCATCCCTGTCCCCCCTCCTCCTCCTCCTCCTCCTCCTCCTCGCCAGGCTTCGACATGACCCCCAACTACGTCGACGCCAGCACCACCAGCATCACCATCTCGCCCTGGTGCTCCTGCAAGGGCAGCGGGAACATGGAGGAGGAGTGCGAGAAGTTCCTCCGGGACTTCACGGAAAACCCCTGTCTCCGTAAGGCTCCCCCACTCCCCCCGCCCCGGTCCCTCACCCCACCCCACTGTATCACCCCCCTAAAACCTCTCCCGCCCCCAGGAAACGCCATCCAGGCCTTTGGCAACGGGAGCGACGTGAGCGTGGCCCCCAAAAACCCCTCTCCCCCCGTCACGGTGCCTCCCAGGGCGGAGAAGAGCCCGGCCCTGCCCGACGACGTCAACGACAGCAACACCATCTACGACACCAGCGTCGTCCCCGCCTGCACCCCCGCCCAGGTAGGGATGGGAGAAGGGGATGGGAAAGGCAGGGATCAGTGCCCTGCCCCTCACCCGGGGCAGCATCACCTGCCTGCCCAGGTGAGCTGGTGTGGCTGCCCCGAGCCCTCCTCCTCCTGCTCCGGGGGGAAAGCGGCTCCAATTCCACGTGGTTTTGGGGAAATGTGGAAAACACGTGTTTTCTGGCGTTGGGCTGGGCGTGTGGGGCCGTGTTTTGCTCCTTGGGAGAGGGGTGGGATGGGGTCTGGGGGTGTCCACGGCAGGAGGATTTGCAGCAGGGGTGCAAGGCAGGAGCCCGATGGAGACCCTGAGCTGCCCGTGGAAAAGGGATGAGCTTTTCCTCCTCCTTCTCCTCTTCCTGCTCACCTTTCTCTTTGTGCCTCACCCCCTTGGCCGTGGGCTCCGAGCCCCGATTTCCACAGGGAAATCCAGGACTCCAAACCCCGGTTCCCATCCCTGCCCTCACCCTTCCTGCCTTCTCCTCCCCAGGAACAAGGACTGAAGCCAAACAAGTCCAAAGAGCAGAGCCTGTGCTACTCAGAGGTGGGTCTGGGGCAGGGAGGGAGCACAGGGAGGGGGATCCTGGCCCTGGGAGCTGTTTCCCTGTGCAAACAGCTCGGGAAGGACACCAGGGATGAGGGAAGGACACCAGGGATGAGGGAAGGACACCAGGGATGAGGGAAGAGAACACCAGGGATGAGGGAAGGGAACACCAGGGATGAGGGAAGGGAACACCAGGGATGAGGGAAGGGAACACCAGGGATGAGGGAAGGACACCAGGGATGAGGGAAGGGAACACCAGGGATGAGGGAAGGGAACACCAGGGATGAGGGAAGGATGCCAGAGATGAGGGAAGGGAACACTGGGCGTTTATCCATGGATGCTTTTCCCTTGGATGCTTTCCCCCCTCAAAACCCGCCCTGTGACGCCTCCTTTGCCCCCAGACCCAGCTGACCACGGACACGATGCCGGACCAGAAGACCTTCGTGGACCAGAAGGGGGGATGCAGCCGACACCGGGCGGGCCGGATCCTGCTCCCTGTGCTCCTGGGGCCCATCCTGCTGCTGGCACCGGGATTATAGAGGGGAGGGAAAGGCCGGCGGGACGGGGACGCTCCCACCAGTGCCCACCAGTGCCCACCAGTGCCCACCAGTGCCCGCTGGCACTCAGCCTCACCCCCAGCTCCTGCTGCGGCCACGGGGGGACATGGACAGACCGAGACCCTCCGGAGTGCCGGGAATGCCGAGGCGCGGGAATGCCGAGGCGGCAGGAGGGACCCTCTCACCAACGCTGGGAAACTTTGGTGGTTTTTTCCTTCCTGGTTTCATCTGTTTTTTTTGTTTTTTTTTTCCCTGGTTTTTGAGGGTGTTTTTGGGTTTTTTTTTTTGGTTTTTCCAAAGCAGGATTTTCTCTCGTGGTGGAAAACCCCACCCCTGGAATGGGGAAAAGGGGAAGGGGCCGGAGCTGCGAGCGGCGCTGGGGAGGGGGAAATAAACGGAGCAGAGCTTTTTGGGGGGAAGGGGATTTTCAGGAATATCCGCAGGATTCCGCAGGGGAGCATCCCAGAGGATTGGCTGTGCCGTGGGGAGCCCCCTGTGCAGCTCGGAGGGGACTGGTTGGACCTCTCAACATCGTTATGGGGGGTTTGGGTTGGGGTTGTTTTGTTTTTATTTCTCCCCGAGAGTTTTCAAACGGAAGAGAAAACAAAACTGTTGAACCGTGTGGGGCCGTCCTGATGTTTTCAGTCTGTCGCTTCCAGGGGGAGATCTTTATTTTTATTTTTTATTTTATTTTTTTTTAATTTTTTTTTCTTTTTAATTTGGGTCGGGAAGGGATTTGACCCCTCGGGGGGGGGGTCAGAATCTCTCTCTGTGTTCCTCTCCCTTTTCTTTTCTATATACATATATAGTGTATGTATATCCCACTCACCTATACCTACATATATGTATGTATATACATAACCAGATGCAACGTGTGGCTTTTTTAATTTCGTTTTTTCCCCCTCCCTTTTTTTTTTGGAAAGGCAAAAAAAACAAAACAAAACAAAACCGAGCTCGGAACGGCGACTTCAAAATGCATCATTGTAAAAGTTTATTTTTTTTAATGACGTCTATGATGGAGAAGACAAAAAAAAAAAAAAATATAAAATAAAATAAACCGAGACCAACAAACCCAAGGAATGAAAACAGCCCCGAAAAGCTCCGATGGAATCCGAATTTTCTGGCCAAGCACCCCCAGCCTGGGGAAAGGGGGGTCACGGGGGGGGCCCCTTCAGCTGCAGGAGGAACACAGAGATTTTTTGGGTCAGCCCAAATATTTTTGCAGCTCTCCAGAACGATTCCCTGCCTGTTTTGCTCCGGGAGACAAGCAAACAAGGAAACATTTCAAAGGAGCTGACACGTTCCCGTGCGGCAGGGAGAGGGTTGTTTTTTTTTGGTTTTCTTTTTTGTTGTTGTTGTTGCTGTTTGGGTTGGTTTTTGTTGCTTTTATTTTTATGTGCAATAACCGTGGATTTGAAACACCAACCTCTCGCCTTAACGTTGTTTTTCAGTTGGTGGGGGGGTTTTTTTTCCCCCCCCCAAGACGACCTGTCAGCGCTTTAAAAACCGAAGTGAAACG